GACAACTGAGTACCACCATTGTGATATCAAAATGATCTCCAGGGAGTCACCCCGTCACACTCCTGCCCGCCACTCTCACTCCAGCTCTGGGGGAGCACCAGGAGTACACCGCGAGTCCCAGGAACGCCAAAAACCAAACACAAGCGCTCCAGAATCCAAAATGGCCGCCACGGCACTTCCGGGAACGTCAATACGTCGCGTGCCCTGGACGCGTTTTAGACTTTGTCAACAAGGATCCTATTGAGTATCTTCTTCACGAATGCTGTGACACTATAGTGTTTTGCATGCTGCACGTGTGGCACTATACTTGTGATACCTAAGATAATACACTATGTCTAGATTTTGTTTTTTTTGAGGTATATGAAGATACTATGTTTTATCTTCATCTTCATTTTGGAATAGTGAGCACTTATCCATCAAGATTTGGATATCACGTTGGACCTTTTTTTTGAGTTTTTTATGTGAAATTTTGGACATTTTATTTTTGGGACTTTAAGTTTGTTTATTTAAGTCGGTTGATATATTGTATACTGGTACTTCAGGGGAAGGATAATGATACGACTTTAAGGGATATTATGTGTTATGGGTTTGTGTGTGCTGACTTATAATTATTTCATATCCCTAAATACATTTTATTTGCCCAGGAACTTTATATGAGGTGAAACACATACAACCGATAAATAGCTAGTGTACATGATTACCGTTTTCCATAATATCACCCAAGGTAGTTACCATAAAGAGAAAAGTGTTTTCTATTCGTTCACATGTATTTAGGTGCACTCTCCAGTAGCACAATGTATTGTCCATTATGCTTTCCCTGTTCACTACCACACTGTACCTATTGTTCCCCTTTATCTTTGATGACATCATTCATTTTGACGTAGTTATTTATTAGAACAATGTACACCAAAAATTCTCTGATAGGAAGTCCAGGAGACAAGCATGGGAGGAGGAGACAAGGGAGCTAGAGAGTAGGAGGTCGTGCGAGGAGTGGAGAGTACGGTTTGGGTGATATTTGGAGACAAGATTGGTGATGTGATTTGGGGAAAAGTTCTAAATGGCTTTATATGTTATTAAGTGTTCTTGCATAGCAAGGAACACTTATTGTATTCTCACATATATATTCTTATTCTTATTATTATAGCCATATTTACCACCCTATCTCCTCCCACAGTTTTTACACTATAAAGACAAGTGATATATCAAAACGTGCGGATTGTTCCCGATCGGATTGCTATTACTTTGTGGAACGTTTCGCCGAATCGTTCATGAAATATCACGGTTTTTGTGGTGAAATTTTCCCATAGGAATGAATGGTGCATCTAGAGTGGCAGCAGAGCACAGCTACAGGGTGGAAGGAAAAATCAGAACATGATTTGTAAACTGCCATCACTCTGTCATTTTCAAGCCCACCTACACATATCTTATATCAAAACATTCAGCTAACCCTGCTGTCACTAAAAATGTTCACGGCTAGGACATACTCCTGATAGTTTTCACAATATGACCATTTGTTTGCAACTCACCCCTCCCATTGACTTTCATTGAAACTTCACTCACAGCCACCTGACATTTTAAGGGATGTTTTTAAACTGCGATTGTGCCTTCATTTTTAATATTTCAGAGACATACTATACATCAAAATTTAGGTCTGGTTCTTGTGATTGTCACGGTAGCATTTATACTTTTAAAACTACAAGCGTTTGAAGATGGCAATCGCCAGTGAAGTTGGCAAGTTGCAGCAGTGTGTTTAGAGCAGGACTTCTAACATTCCTGCCTGAGTGAGTTGCTATAGCAACCAAAGGTCACTCAAGAGGCAGATGACTCACCAGGCTGGACTGTGAGCTTCAAAATACAAGCTGAAATGCATTTTCTCACTATCAGGCTTGCAATGTACACTGCTTACATTTCATCAATCACTTGGTAAGGGTTGCTTGCAAGAACACTTTACACAATTTCCCCAGAAATTGTAGATTTTCTAGTTGTTATATGTTATTGTTAATGCTTTGAATTTTATCTGTTGGGCAATTGGAAGCCAGTGGAGTGATTGGCAGAGAGAGATGGAGGACACTGAGTGGAGGCCAGTGGAGGGATTGGCAGAGAGGGGTGGAGGACACTGAGTGGAGGCCAGTGGAGGGATTGACACAGAGGGATGGAGGACACTGAGTGGAGGCCAGTGGAGAGACTGGCAGAGAGGGGTGGAGGACACTGAGTGGAGGCCAGTGAATGGATTGGCAGAGAGGGGTGGAGGACACAAAGTGGAGGCCAGTGGAGGGATTGGCAGAGAGGGGTGGAGGACACGGAGTGGAGGCCAGTGGAGGGATTGGCAGAGAGGGATGGAGGACACTGAGTGGAGGCCAGTGGAGGGACTGGCAGAGAGGGGTGGAGGACACTGAGTGGAGGCCAGTGAATGGATTGGCAGAGAGGGGTGGCGGACACAAAGTGGAGGCCAGTGGAGGGATTGGCAGAGAGGGGTGGAGGACACGGAGTGGAGGCCAGTGGAGGGATTGGCAGAGAGGGATGGCAGATACAGAACGGTTAGTAAGATGGATGAGTCTGGCAGCAGCATTCATGATAGACTGAAGAGGGGATAGCTTGCGATGAGGTCGGCCAATAAGGAGGGAGTTACAATAGTCAAGGCGAGAGATAACAAGGGAGTGAATAAATTGCTTAGTGGTTTCTGAAATTAGGAACGGGCGTATCTTTGAGAAGTTGCGGAGGTGAAGGCTACAAGATTTGGACAGTGATTGGATTTGGGACTGGAAGAACAGATGGGAGTCTAGGATTACACCTAGTACCCTGGCATGAGGGGAGGAACTGATGGTTGTATTTAGAGATGAGCGAATTTTTCAAAAATTCGATTCGCCTGATTCGCCGAATTTTCCAAAAAAATTTGATTCGATTCGAATTTATTTGCTGCGAATTTTACTTATAAAAAGGGTTTCTAGGCTTCAGAGAGCCTTTATATTAGTGCAGAACACTGTACCTTTAATTTAAATGTCCTTGGAGTCTGCTGGGGAAGAGAAATAATACTGTCAGTCAGTATGACATGCAGATGAGTGCCGTCGATCTTAGAATCACCGCACACTTCACTCATTTGGGCAGTCACGGGGCCAAAGAAGAAGAAGGAGAAGAAGAAGAAGAAGAAGAATGAAAAGAATGAAAAGAAGAAGAAGAAGAAGAATGAAAAGAATGAAAAGAAGAAGAAGAAGAAGAAGAAGAAGAATGAAAAGAATGAGAAGAAGAAGAAGAATGAAAAGAATGAAAAGAAGAAGAAGAAGAATGAAAAGAATGAAAAGAAGAATGAAAAGAATGAAAAGAAGAATGAAAATAAGAAGAAGAATGAAAAGAAGAATGAAAAGAATGAAAATAAGAATGAAAATAAGAAGAAGAATGAAAAGAAGAATGAAAAGAATGAAAAGAAGAATTGAAAAAGAAGAAGAAGAATGAAAAGAAGAATGAAAAGAATGAAAAGAAGAATGAAAAGAAGAAGAATGAAAAGAAGAATGAAAAGAATGAAAATAAGAATGAAAAGAATGAAAAAGAAGAATGAAAATAAGAAGAAGAATGAAAAGAAGAATGAAAAGAATGAAAAGAAAAATGAAAAGAAGAAGAAGAATGAAAAGAAGAATGAAAAGAATGAAAAGAAGAATGAAAATAAGAAGAAGAATGAAAAGAATGAAAAGAAGAATGAAAAGAAGAAGAAGAATGAAAAGAAGAAGAAGAATGAAAAGAAGAATGAAAAGAATGAAAAGAAGAATGAAAAGAAGAATGAAAAGAATGAAAAGAAGAATGAAAATAAGAAGAAGAATGAAAAGAAGAATGAAAAGAATGAAAAGAAGAATGAAAAGAATGACAAGAAGAATGAAAAGAAGAATGAAAATAAGAAGAATGAAAAGAAGAATGAAAAGAATGAAAAGAAGAATGAAAATAAGAAGAAGAATGAAAAGAAGAATGAAAAGAATGAAAAGAAGAATGAAAAGAATGAAAAGAAGAATGAAAATAAGAAGAAGAAGAATGAAAATAAGAATAATTCCAGTAAAGCAAAAAGTGTATGTGCAGAGTTCCTCTATTTCTGACAGTTCTCTGACAGTTCTTTCACATTTACAGCGATTGAAACATTGTATCTATTTGTTTCCTAATAAAAACATCTGTATCCTAAATGGAAACAAATAGATACAATGTTTCAAAATGGGAAAGAACTGTCAGACAGCTGTCAGAAATAGCGGAGCTCTCTGCAGGGACATTTTTGCCGGCTGTAGAAGGGATGAAAACGGCCGATCAGGAAAAATTCGATTCGACCATCCGAAGTTGGCAAAAATTCGGATTCGCTGCGAATCGAATTTTTCCTGAAATTCGAAACGAATTCCACTTCGCCTGATTCGATTCGCTCATCTCTAGTTGTATTATTGATCTTGATGGAGAAGTCAGGGGAGGGGGCATGGGCTGGAGGGAATACTGCCAATTTCATAGCTGATTTGTAGGTATTGTGTGCCTTAGGTTGCCCTTGAAGCTAGAACAACTTCATTGACTTGATTGTAACACCAGTATATATACTTTACAAATGATGTTCTTCTTTACAGATGTATGCATCTACTCCCGAAGAAGTGAACAAAGATTCATGAAACACATTGAGTTTTCAGATGTATTTTTTACTGTAATCATGAATTGGAATGTATATAGCCAGTAACATTTCAATTATATTTGATAAGTGCTGATAGAAATGACTACACATTAGCTTTCCATTCATTTTATTTGTTTTTTATGTATTGAGATTTGTATCTATTTATCAATAAAACATCAATCACGTACGCAAGCTATTTATCGGTTGTATGTGTTGCGCCTCATATAAAGTCCCATGGCAAATAAAAATATTTTTACTAAAATGATAAAGTCAGTTGTGAAAAATATTTATTTTACATTTTCTTTAAAGTTTTATTTAAAATACATAAACAAAACAATTTCAAAAGTTGTGAAAAATATTTATTTTACATTTTCTTTTAAGTTTTATTTAAAACACGTAAACAAGACAATTTCAAAGCTTTCTTAATCTCTTGGCTTCTAAGGCCATAGATAATAGGGTTCATCAAAGGGGTTACCACAGTATAAGCCAAAGACAAAAATTTTTTAATGTTCACTAATTTTCCTACACTTGGAATAATGTAAATGCAAAATAGAGTCCCATAAAACATAATTACGACACTTAAATGGGAGCTGCAGGTGGAGAAGGTCTTCTGCCTGCCATCCTTAGATTGTATTTTCAAGATGGCAAAAATAATGTAAGCGTAAGATATGATAATTACAAGAGCTGGGATGATAATGATTGGTGTGCTTAGTAAAAAGACTTCTAATTTAATGATATAAGTATCTGAACAAGAAATTTCTAGTAAAGGTCCCAGGTCACAGAAAAAATGGTCAATAATATTTGATTGACAGAACTGTAACTTAGATAATGTTATGGTATCAACTAAAACCGCAGACAAACTTAAAAGCCAACATATTGCAACTATTTTCAGACAAAGCTGTATATTCATTAAGGCAGAATAATGCAAAGGTCTACAGATGGCCAAATATCTGTCATAACACATCACTGCAAGGAGAAAACACTCATATGTTTCCATGGAAGCAAAAAAATAAAACTGGATGATGCAACCAATTAATGTGATTTTTCCATTATCATATAATACTACATTTAGCATCTTTGGGGCAATAACTGAGCTCAGTAATATATCATTTTTTGACAGCTGGGTGAGCAAAAAGTACATGGGAGATTGAAGACTCTTGTTATAGAATACTAGTATGATAATTAGAAGGTTCCATAAAATTGTTAAAAGGTAAATGACAAGCATAATGAAGAAAATTAGGATATTTAGGTTTTTGCTGATACTAAATCCCAAAAGAATGAATTCATTAAATGTTTTATTGTTACCTGTTTTGATGAAAAACATTAAAAACATATATATATATATAGTCACCAATAAAACACCAAGAAAACAATTAGTCACACACTACGCCGACAAGGACTGAAATCCTGCAGTGTCCTCAAGGTTCCTCTGTTCAAGAAAGCACATGTCCAGGCCCGTCTGAAGTTTGCTACTGAACATATGAATGATGCAGAGGAGGACTGGGTGAAAGTGTTGTGGTCAGATGAGACCAAAATCGAGCTCTTTGGCATCAACTCAACTCGCTGTGTTTGGAGGAGGAGGAATGCTGCCTATGACCCAAAGAACACCATCACAACTGTCAAACATGGTGGTGGAAACATTCTGCTTTGGGAGGGTTTTTCTGCTAAGGGGACAGGACAACTGCACCGCATCAAAGGGACGATGGACGGGGCAATGTACCATCAAATCTTGGGTGAGAACCTTCTTCCCTCAGCCAAGGCATTGAAAATGGGTGGTGGATGGGTGTTCCAGCATGACAATGACCCAAAACACACGGCCAAGGCAACAAAGGAGTGGCTCAAAAAGAAGCACATTAAGGTCCTGGAGTGGCCTAGCCAGTCTCCAGACATTAATCTGATTGAAAATCTGTGGAGGGAGCTGAAAGTTTGAGTTGCCAAATGTCATCCACCAAACCAACAAGGGATTTGCCACCAAGTACTAAGTCATGTTTTGTGAAGGGGATCAAATACTTATTTCCCTCATGAACATGCAAATCAGTGCATCATCTGTTAGACATGCATTTTTTCTGATTTTTTTTGTTGCTATTCTGTCTCTCAGTGTTACAATGCACCCACCATTCGATTTTTAGACCGATCATTTCTTTGTGAGTAGGCAAACATTCAAAATCAGCTGGGGATCAAATACTTATTTCCATCACTGTATATACAGTATATATATATATATATATATATATATATATATATAATTCATTCTCTATACCCCTTTCCCCCCAGTAGTACAGCCTAGTTAGAAGCAGGCCCAGCCCTCCCCCACCCCCTGAATCACATCCCCTGCTCTGTTCTGCTTCAACTCTGCTCTGATGATTTCCTTCTGATCTCCCACTGTGCTGATTCCTTGCTGTTGAGTTTCCAGCTTGGTCCTCACCCTCCACCTTCCTGCTCTATCAATCCCACACTGTATATCATGTGTGATATCTACTGATTCCCCAATCCAGTCCCTGCTCACCTACCTCCTTCTTCTTGCTGAACACGACAACCTGGATGTGAACACAAAAGCACAACTAACACTAAATGGAGATGTAGTTGTGGTTAGAGTTTTTTTTTCTGCCTCTTGAACAGCTCCCTAGGCAGCAACAGGCAGTGAGGGGACAACTGCCTGTCTGTTGCTGTGAGAAAAGCAATCATGCTTTAGACAGCAAAGCAAGTCTAAGCAAGACCTTACACTTCTATGGGGGCTTTGAGATGCTGTAAAGCACAACAAGAGGTCACACATGGGGCAAAATTTCTGAAGCAAAACAAACTTAAAAGTGTGTACAGGACTGTAAGGTAACCATTTTATATGTTTTTATTGGCTTTTAGAGTGCTCTAAAAAAATGGTGTCAAAGGCCACATTTTAAAGCATGTAAACAAGGCCTAATAAGCCAAATCCCTCTTCACCATTTCTCTCTAAGACATGGCAGCTTCCAGAAGGAGGGTTTCAGCAACAAAGGCATGTATTGTCCACCAGAAAGAAGTGGACTGGACTAGATGTGGTCAGTTTAGTGACAAGCTATTGGATTCCAAATCAGCAGTGACAACGCTGATAGCCATGCCCCCCATAACAACGGTAGTACAAGGAGGTACAGCCTTCATGAGGTTGACAATGCTGCTCTGGATCCAGGGTTAGTGCAGCATTGTTGTCATCCCATCACATAACATTGGATGAAGTGGAGTTCAGTAGCAGGATCAGAAGGTTTTTCTAAGAATTTGCAGTGGGAATAATAATAATGCTTTACAATGACTTACTTTTGATGTTTCCATAGTTCTCAGTCATTTTCACCTTGCTTTTGCCACAATGTTTTGCTCATTCTTTGCTGGTGTTGAGTTAAGACAGCTATGGATTAATACCCACTGAATTATTACCTTGTATATAATTTTAAAGTAAAGCATTAATATTCTGTATTTCAGCGCATTTATTTTCTAAACAAGAAAACATTTTTTTTAGAGCCAATTACTGGGGAGCCTGGATTCTAATTTAATTGCATTGCCACATACAATATTGTATATTCTAAAGACAATTCAGGTAAAGCTCTCTAATTTCTTAACAAGTGGCTCATATTATATGATTGATATGTATGTTAACATGTCTTTAAAGAGGGTTCAGTCCAACATTCTTTTGTATTAGAAGAATGCATATACTTACTACTTCTCCAGATTACTGTTTTTTTTTTTCTATTTCTCCACTATTCCAGCATTGCAGTCTCAGAGAACATTTCCAGCATTGAAAGCTCCAGGAGCTTTGGATGCCTGGGTTCCAAATTGTGTGCTGGTTCTTTCCTTCAACCTCCTAAATCATTGTTGAGTCCTGAAGGCATCAAACCAACTTAAGGAGGAGCTCCAAACTCGCCCCCATAAAATTAAAAGTCAGCAGCTACAAATACTGCAGCTACTGACTTTTAATATAAGGACACTTACCTGTCCAGGGATCCAGCGTTGTCCTCACCTGAGCCAGTTCTTCAATGGGCTTTGGGTTCCTGGTGCTGGCCTATTATTTATGGGAAACTGACAGTGAAACCTTGCTGCTTCGCGGCCGGGTTCTGACTGCACATGCACGAGCCACGCTGCTCTTTGTGAATGATCTCACAGTCTTCTGGGATCTGTGATGCTTCCTAAAAGGCTGCAGGGGAAGGGAGGCAAAACTTCCACTCAGATTGGTGAGGTGATTCGACCAGAAGTGGGAGCAGGTGCCTGTCAAAACCAGGTACCCACTCCATTCCCACCCAAAAAGTGCCAATTGCTATGGGAGGGGGTGGGAGGGGTGTGCAAACAAACAGTCATGGTTTTGAAGGAGAGGTGAGTATTGATAAATCAAACTTACCTGGGTTTGTTTCATCAGAGGTTTGCCAAATCATTTGGATACCAACTGAAAGTTCATTGATATTAATATGAGCTGAATCGGTCAAATTAAAAGTGCCCATTTTCTGTGGTAATAGGCAAGAGGTGTCAAAAAATAGCATGGTTGTGGGAACTGCCCTTGGGTACCAATGCAAAAACAAACTAATAAAAAAAATCCATTTGGCCAGGAGCAATCATTTGTTAAATGCCTAAATTAAAACAATACAAAATGTTCAGTTCCTTTAAATAACATGCTTATGGGGTCCCCTGATCCTACACTTTTTTAAGATGTTGGCAAAAAAATGCAATTTGCAAGCAATTTAAATTGTATCTTTTTTCTTTTTCTTTATAAATGTGATTTTCACTGTAACACTTCCTAGAGCAAGAATTTCAAAAAAATTGCATTAGAGTTTTCAAAAAATGCACCTTTGTGTCTGGTATGAATTTTAGGGGGTACCCTATAAAAACTGGTGAGCGATACATCACTTATCACTCATGAGCAGTGAGAAGGATCGGGTGAGACACTCGCTCCATGTGATATACAGATACCTTTAATGGGTAATGTGGATATTTTGGCATGCTTTCATTCATTTTATGTGAGTGCAATACTTTCTATCCAATAAATGGTTTTTAATGGATTTACGCTATGAGTTTCCTTTCACATCTTTCCCTGATTACGGAGTGTAATAGTTTGGAGGATGTCCCGCCATCATATCAGTCTCTAATTGATGAAGGGCCGGTTGATTGATGATCTGTACTACGCTGACACTCACCACAAGCGCTATTGCCTATCAGGTTGGATGGGCCATGATATTTGGTGAGTGCCACTAAATTGGACGAGGTTTTCCTCTGGAGCACGCGGTGATATCTGAGTGCACTTTATTCATTATATATTTATTTATATATTTATATATAATTTTTATATATCATTTTATTCAACCAATCATCATTATCTTGTTCACCTGGTGATCTCGGTGGATCAATAAGGACTTTGCACTTCATCACAATTTTCATTTTTCAGTTGGTGGACTTATGTCAAATGATTTCAAAATGTATGTATACTTTTTGAAGTATTATATTTGGTATCATATTCCCATTTTGCTATTGTGCTTGATTTTGTTTTGTGCTGCTTTTATTTGTTATTGTTTCATGAAATAAATATGTGTGCCATCTTTTTTTTTTATATAAAGCCTTTCCAACCTTTTGTGTAATTGGTGCAATTCAAGTGGTAATCAATAAAAAAAATGATAATAAACTAATGCAGCCAACATATCTGAGGATTGAAAAGATTTGATGTATTTGTGGCCAAAAAGAATAAGTATCCCATATGTAGACATTTATTACAATATGTATGCCAAAAATTGTGCAAAAAAAAATTGCCCCCTAACATTCAAACACAACATATACTACTCCATAATACATTTCAGAATGTATGCCAAAATGGTGCCTAATTGGTTGAGTAAATTCATGAAATTATTGGAATTAGTGATTTAAACCTTTATGATATTACAGACAAAATACTGATATAAAAACAATTCTATATTACACCACCTCAAGTTGCACAATGT